CGGGACCAGAGACACGAGCAATACTTCCCACCTTTTACCTTTTCCAGCAAGCGAGGAACAGAGTTGATTGTCATTAGCTTTCACATTCAATCTGTGTTTCTTCTGTGTGAGACACTCGGTTGTGTGGCGTCGTAAAGCGGACACCTGCGGTAGTTCCTTTCTCAGGCCGCCACACCTGTCTGCTCCTGAGTTAATGGCTTCCTGCCGATGAGTCGCTCCTCGCGCTCAGCCATGCCTCTTTACCAGGATGACCTCCCCCCGTCCTGTGACACTGCAATAGGCAGAGTTATCGTGCTGAAACTGTAAAATGACTAGGTTTCGTTTTGAGGAAGCTGGATGGAAATCTGAAGCTAGAAGCTTGTCGTACTTATGTAGTATGAATATCAGGTACTATAAATCTGATAACCCACCCGACCTCGTCCCTTAAAAGGACCCGATGGGGGTAATGGAGGGACGTTCTATGTCTTCATCTCTTGAAGGACGTGTTTTGCAAAAGCGAGCGCACGGTCTGTCTCCCCCCTCTCGTCCCCCGTCCTCTCTTTGCTCGCGCCGTCTGAAGTTCATCAGTCGAGGAGGAATGTGTCCTTTTAGACGGGGGGGCGGATCATGGACGCGTTTCTCTATAAATAACTTCTCGTCGGCCAGCAGGCGAGTTCAGAGACCAGGAACCACTGAAGCTCGGCGTGGACACAAGCCCTTTGGGACTTGCTCGTGCACCCCTGGACCTGGAGGCTTTGTCAATCCCACCTGCAGTCTTCCTGTCCCCTCTGGTGTCTCGTCCTATGGTCCAAGCTCGAGTAGACAATGTCACATCTCATTTATGGGGAAGGGGGGGGGGGGTGAAGCAGTTGTATCCATCTATGCGCTTCAAAACCGGACAATACGGTCTTGGGACGCGCCCCGGTGTCCCCGGCGCTGGGTGTCACAGGACGTCCCAGGATGTCCCCGGCGCTGGGTGTCACAGGACGTCCCTGATGGTTTACACACCTCCTGTATGGCAGCAGAACCTGTTTGTTGATGGAAGGGCGGTCGCTCCCGGCAGAGCGCTGCGTCCCCCTCAGGGCCTCCATGACTCCCTCCATTCATGTCTGCGTGTGTGTCTGTGTGTGTGCGTGTGTGTGTGTGTGTGCGCGCGGGCAGTCTGGGATGTGTTTATTTGTGTAAAGAGTACAGAGGAGGGACTTCTCATTACAGCCGTGTGTGTGTGTGTGTTTATGTTCCCAATCGTGTCACTAATTACAACGTGTTTTATTTGACCCCTCTCCCCCCCCGTACTGAGAATGAGGCTGTTGAATGGGGCATTTTGATTAGACACTGGAATTGGTGCCCTCCCCCGTCTCCTCCCTCCCTCCCCCCTCTCTCTTATCATCAGTCACATTCCATCAGTACCCACTGAGCACTGAGGCTTGCGAGCACTTGTTTTGTGGCGGTTTCGCTCGTTCCTCCCCCCCTTCTCTCTGGCCCCCTCTTCCCCTTCCAACCATTGTCTCCCTGTAACCCTGTTTCTGTCCACTAATGTCTCCCCCCTTCCCCCATCTGTTGCCCCTCTCTGTCCTCTAGTTGTGTGTGTGTGTGTGTGTGTGTGTGTGTGTGAGAGGCTGAATTGAAACGGGGTGAATGGCCGGACTCGGCGAAGCGGGCGATGACTCAATTGAATGTGGCTCTGAGGAATTCCGTGTGGAGTCTTTGCTGGTGTTGTGTCGGGGGGTTGGCGACTCCGTGTCCTCGCCACAACACGTTAGGGGGTGCGTGTTCGATGTGTGTGTGTGTGCGCAGGTGTGCGTGAGTTAATGACAGGACATCTTATTGTTGTGTCATTTTAAGCTAATTGTATTAATTCATGACTCGTATCATTTCATTTTCAAAAAGCTGTCCAGTTTCCAGGTTTGCAAAATCATGATTAAGGTACTTTTCTTTTGAAGTGCAGAGCAGTGAAAACCTCAACTGACCTTTGAATGAAAATGTTCATTTGCCCCTCAGATTTTGATTAAATGAACTCATAGATTTATAGACTTATAGGCTGGTACACGCCATGTAAAACTAATAAAAGGTTATTTTTATTAAACTCTTTATTATATTGAAACATTATATAAAAGAAGTTGCTCACCAGATCTAAAGCTAATGTTAGTGTCCTACTAGATGCTAATAAATGATTTAATATAAAACATTATTGTGAACTATTCTAATTAATGTTTAATTAATTTTCTACTTGTGTGTTATATTTCTTGGTTTAAGTGTAAAGCACACATTTCTATGAATAAACTACAACCACAAAAGAGCAATGTTAGATAATATATACATATATATTACAAATGTGTGGTTGTTCCAGCTGACATTTATTAGCTTGTGAACAAATGCCGTTGACTCTTTTTAAAACACTGAAAAGTTAGATAACTTAAACTAGTTTTAAATTGTTCCAGACTCAAATATTTGCATTACACACATTTTGCACAATCTCTTTTATATCTTTTATATATATATCTTTTATATGTATATGTATAGTTATGAAATGTGAATTTAACATATGGCATTAAATGAACTTGAGTCAACTTGGTTTCTGCAGAAAGCACTGGAAGGATGTGGAGTCCAGAGGGGGAACTTATAGGAAACTCACTTACATGCAGGCACACGTTTCCTCCTCATCACACGGAAACCTTTTCACTCACTAAAGGCACAACTCACTCTTGATTTTAACGTTAGAGAATCAAATCACGGGTCCATTCTCTCGCTCTCGTGTGTCAAACAGCGAATGGTTGATCCTGATTTGATTTCACGCGGCCGGAAAGGGAAACTGAGCGGCGGAGGTCCTGTTTACTGGACTTTATGGCTGCAGACGGCCTGCATGCTTTCACCACCCTGTGCTCCTGCGTCTGAGAGGAGGCAACAGGAGAAGCTGTGTGCTTCTAAGGGTTAACGTGCTTGTCATTCCTGTCTCTGTGCTTTCCCGGGATTATCCGCATAATGGCCACAAAGCGCCTTCCCGCCGGAGAGTCGTGACTTACAGCAGCCAAATGAAAACTCTCCCCCCGGTCGGCGGGTCAAAGGTAAAAAACACAACGTGTATCAGGAAGTTCCCACTGATGGGCTTTAGATTTCAATTACATTTTCATTCAATCCTATAGAGAAAGAACAATAATGGTTATTGTTTATATATATATATATATTATAGTTTGTAGGGTTTTTTTTCTGCCCTTGTTGGCACCTTGCCAGTTCTTTACCCTCGTTCCCACATGCAGGAGATGGCCACCAACAAAGCTTCTCTCCAGGGCTCCTAGTGTGTGTGTGTGTGTGTGTGTGTGTGTGTGTGTGTGTGTGTGTGTGTGTGTGTACACTTGATGAGGACCGGCCTGTTCAGGGGCTTGAATAGTGTCTTTTTCAGTCCCCCCTCCCAACACCCCGTTTGGATAAACCCACTGGAGACCCTGCAGATAATCCTGCATGTGTGCTAGCGATGGAGGAGGAGCGGTGGATGAAAGGAAAGGGGGAGACGATAGGGGGGGGAAGAGGAGTCTTTACTGTACATGGGGAGCAAAGGGAGATGCTGCTGTCATAACCGACTGCTCAGTGTTTCACAGAGTACACATGAAACCACAGATCAAGGGGCTCAAGGGAACTCGACCCCTTCTCTGGCTTCCAACGCCAGCTTCTTTTACCTCACGGCAACTTGTTTTTCTGGCACGGACTCTTAGAGCAGATGGTTTTGTACCTTGTATCCTAGCAATGAGGGAGGATTGTATACTTGGACTGTGTGTGTGTGTGTGTGTGTGTGTGTGTGTTTGTGTGGGGGGGCACTGAAAGGCCTATTGGACAGACACTACTTGACTTGGCCTCTGCTGTGGGCTTTTTACACGCAAAGAAACCCCAAACGGATGTAGCCAGTCAGACGTAGGTCTGACAGAAGCTTCAATGGGTGTGAGCTTCCCACGACTCTTACTGGGCTGCGGGGTGTTGGAACATCACGGTCTGTTAGTCGGCCGGGGACGTCGTCCTTTAGGGTTCAGGGCTGCACTAAATCACCCTGGATGTCCGAGCGCTAGAGGCTCGGATATGACCATTCTGTCCAAGCAGCTCCAAACACATGCTGCTCCCCCGAACTGTTTCCATCTACGTCAGGGGTCTCAAACTCAAATCAGCTGTGGGCCAGATGCAGCCCACTTCAACTGAACGCGGGCCAGACTAGCGTCCGAACGCCATGGTCGACAATAACACAACTTAACACTCACTTTCAAAAGCAGTCATTGAACCCCACCCTGGGGGATCGGTCCGAATGAGACTACAACACTAGTCCTCCTTTAACTCAGCGGGGGAGACCTAAGGTCATGTGACCGTGGAATTCCTTTATAGCCAAACGTGAAGTTACGTGAATCGAAGCTGCGTAGTAATGGACGGAGACGCTCGTCGGTGACGTCAGATGCTTCATGTGTTGTTAGTGTGAGTCGTAAAGGAAAACTTTATTAAACGAGCGATGCTAACGGTTAGTCACATGATCACCTGCGCGAAAGAGGGCAGGAAACTGAATTTCACCCTCCTGCTCTCTGCACCTCGGCCGACACACACGACCCGCCCCCCATGTCAGTCACATGCATGCCACGTTCACTGGACAAGCACACAGTAGGAAACCAGAACATCATAACATGTCCCACACAGCAGCTGACAGTGGGGTTACAGTATAAAACTTGCGGGCCGCACTAACATTACACTTTCATATTAAGGATGGGGCCACAAAATATCGTCCCGAGGGCCGCAATTGGCCCGCGGGCCGCGAGTTTGAGACCCCTGATCTACATTATGTTGGTGTGACTTGCACAGTCGAGATGTCGGCCCGTCTCTGCATAATACACCGAACAACTCCGGAACAGCTTGAAGCTTGTTGTGTTTCCTTGTGTGCAACAGCATTTTCTCTGTCGTATGCTGGGCCCCTAAATCGGCCCTTAGTCATCTCCACTTTGGGGAGCCTTGGTACGGAGTATGATGTATATTCTCTCTCCTTTGTGTTGCAGGTTGCCTCCAGAAGGATGTGCTCTCCTAAACCCGAGCAGCTGGGAGGTCAAGAGGTGACATGCGCTTTGTAAAACGCCACTGGAAACAAATGGTGAGCAGTCAATGGTCCACATGTCTCAGAGAGTTTGTTATGCTCAAGGGGGCTTCACACTTGTAGCCGGGTTCATTTGGTCCGGACCAAGGGGGGAAAAAAGGAAGCCTTTTTAGTTCTGGTCAAGTTCCTGTTCACACGGATGATTGATGGACAAACTCACCAACTGGTTGAGTCTATTTTCTCACAGTGATGGAAGTCTACCCGACTTCCTCTGAAGGAACTCTCAAGTGACTTTGGCTTTGGTGATTTACTCATTACCAGATATTATAAGAGCACACGGCTCCTTTGCGTGCATAACTGTAAATATGGTGAAAGTAAAGAGCACTGACGTCATTGATGCTGCCAGGTAAACAGTGCAGCGCGTTCCCACAGTCTCCCTCATGCAAGTTATGGAAAAGTGCAGGTTGTGATTGGTTGGGGTCCACTGCCGTGTGTCAGAGTTCATGACTTTACCATCCACCATTTTTTTTTCAAGGGACGTTTAGTTCAGAACTAAAACTGACTGAGGTTGGCGATGTAGGCTGCGCTTTATGCGTCAATGTAAAGGTCACAGACCATCTGACTTTCAACATGAGCAAAAAGAAAAAAATAATTCAGCTATTTGCATGCTCCCTGTTTTCCGTGGACAAAGACGAGCATTTGTGGTTCATGAGAATATCCGGCGAGACGGAAACAGCCTTTCACCATGCGAGCTACATTTCAATACGTCAACATTCCCTTGGCTAAGGCATTTCCATATCTAATTTTTTGTTTTTTGAAAAAAAACCACCTCGAGCTAGCGCAAAGAACGCTCATACAATTGAAGACTTTTTTTTATTTTGCCATACAGCTTTTCTAACGTGTGCACAAATTACGTCAGTGGCAGCTGCACAAAAGAGCCCTGAAACCAGCATTAGCTAACTAGCTAGCTAGCTAGCTAGCTATAGCAACACAGCACACCAAAATCAAGCAGGTGGCCCTCAGCACCTCCGTCTGAGACTGATTCATCCCACTGCTTGTCACCACAACTTGGTCAATTTGAAAAGTAGCTTGCGAGCCGGAAAACTGTGGTCCCCCTGATGTAGAGGGCCCTTCCACAGGAAATGTACAGGTTTAGTACAATTTACAACCGTGTGAATGTTAGACCTCAGCTTATCAGCATACAGCGCAGACATGAGCAACTGGAACTAACGGTCGGATTGTGTGGGCATCCACGACTCCTAACAACTAGTCCCGTCTTCTGTCCGTCAGCTCTGCTGCCATGCCTCCGGGGATGGCGCGTCGTCTTTCAGGGTTAGCGGTACGGACGCTGCTGTCGCTCCTCCTGTCACTACGCAGCGGGTTTGCCCAAGGATCCGACTCGCCGCTCTCCGGTCTTTACCCCACCTTCATCCGCAACGACACTCTGTTCGAGCACTTGGCCCTGCACCCCGACCCCAGCGCGGGTCGGATCTACGTGGGGGCCCGTGATCACCTGTTCCAGTTGGACCGGTTCCTCCAGCCTGAACGCCAGGCGGACACCGGGCCGGTCACAGACAGCCGGGAGTGTTTGCCCCCCGTAACCGAGAGCAACTGCCCCCAGGCCAGGCTCACCAGCAACCACAACAAGCTCCTGCTGGTCGACCCTTACTCCATGGAGCTCATCACCTGCGGGAGTGTCAACCAGGGGATCTGCCAGAAACGCAACCTGGATTCTGTGGACGAGGTCCGTTTCTCTACGGAGAGGCCCGTGGATACTCAGTACGTAGCGGCGAACGACCCCAGCGTCAGCACCGTGGGGCTCGTGGTTCGCTCCCATCCCGACAGGCAGCCGGTGCTGTTTGTGGGGCGGGGCTACACCAGCAGCCACCCGCCCATTTCCACCCGAAACCTCGCGCAGGCCCCCATCTTTTCTTACGAGGAGACCGCCAAGCTGGCCGTGGCCGGCCGCCTCTCGGAATACGACCATCACTTCGTGGCGTCGTTCGCCCACCGCCAGCACGTGTACTTCCTCTTCTACAGGCGGGACCTGAAGTCACAGTCACGGGAGTACCGCACTTACGTCTCGCGCGTTTGCCTGGACGACCAGGCCTACTACTCCTACGTGGAAGTGCCCTTGACGTGTCGTTCCAGGGCGGGGAAGATTTACAACCTCTTGCAGGCCGTCCAGCTCGGCCTCACTGAGGACAGCGCGGCGACTCAAGGCTCAGAGGTTCTTCTCGGCGTCTTCTCCACCCGTTTGCCTTCATCCACTCTGCCCAGCGAGGACTCGGCCCTCTGTATGTTCAACCTCAAAGACGTGGACCGCAGGATCAACTCCACCAGAGACCTGTGCTACACCCAGATGGGTCGGGAAGCAGGACTAGAAGCGGCCTACATCGAGTATGAAGTCAAATCCAACTGTGCCAACCTGCCAGAGGTGAGTTCAGCAGTTTGCTTCTTTCTGTTATCACTTATTAACTACTAAGAGTGAAAACAAATGGGCCCCGATCCATAATTGATTTGACTAAAACAGGTGTGCGGTTCGGACATATGACCTCTGACCTCTGAGAGCTAAGAAAGCACTTAAGCCTCACTTTGTCCAGTGGAAGCACACAGCGGTAAACGCCTCCCGTGTGTCAGTGCGCGTAATTGTATGTTTGTGTGACAGGCTGTCACTGAAAAGCAGTATGCATGCTAATAATAAACAGGTGAGTTTTCTGGAACGTGTCACTGTAAATAATCCAAAATACTTCATTCTCCTTACTTCATCAGTTCTTTTTATACAAGTAGATGTTGAGTCCAAGTTTTCTTTAAAATATCTTTGCAAAGGGATAATGTTATTGTGTCTGTGTGCATCACAGCTCATTGATAATTTAGCATTCTGCTGCACCAAGCTGCCCAATGTTGTTGGTGCTCACTTGTGTTTGCAGTGACTTGCACACCTTTTAATTGTTTGATATGGGAAATAGATTGACTGCTGGCTCCTTATACCCCCCTCCGACACACGTGAGACACAGCCGAGATGCACAGAGCCGGTGCAGTTGTGCATAACATTAATATTAAAGCGTTGTGTAAGAAGTGCAAGAGAGAAACACATGTGATACACTTCACAGTCGAGACGGATGGTTGGCCGGTCGTGGGCTGTATTCCATCAATCACACACTACAGCCGCCGCAGAGTGCAGCCTTTTTTCTATGGAGATTTACATTAAATAAAAGCTCCACTGGACTGTCCTATTCCAGCAACGTCTTTTGTATCAGACACCATTTTAACAGACACATGTGACGGATGCATGAGGTTTAGCCGCATCACGTGCATTAAGGTGTTTCCTGCATGTAAACGTTGCTTTTGGATGGACACCGCGTTCTAGTCTGACATCCTCCTCTATTATCACAGCTCTGACCCCTCAGTCTCTGCAGCCCCGTACAGCAGAGCGGCTCTGGGGAGAAGGTAGTGCGGGCAGCCTAATGTAATGATACCGCGGGTCTGGGAGCGATCGATGGGTGGCTTTAGCCATACTTAGTGGGTATGGGGTTGAGGGTAATGTTTAACAAGCCCTGACAAGGACGGAGAAAGACACTCCAGGCGGGGACAAGACTGATGGAGGAAAAGACATTAAGAGATCCAGATTACAGTGGAGCAAATAGTGAAAGAAAAGGAAGACACGAGGAAAGGTTTGCTGTGAATATACGTTTGTGAATGTAAACGTAAAAAGAACCAATCCAATCTTATGGCTGGAAGGGAAACGGCAGGGAGAGATTTGGAGCTGTAAAGATTTACAGTGTCATTAAGATGTCAAATCTCTGTTGGATCCCTGCAGGCAAACAAAAGCCAAGCAGCTCCAGCCAGTAGAGTCCATCTGCACCAGGGACCGGCTCTCTCCTCAGCTGTGTGACATGCTCGGGGATTTGGACTCCTTCAAAATACTAGTGGCCAAATGCGCCTTCAGCCACCTGTAGCATCATCCCACTCGTGGTTATTACTTCAGTGGCTGGGGTGTACGTCACGTAAGGGAGGCTGTACAGGGAGACGGTCCTCTGCAGAGAGGTCTTCATGACCTGCTCGCCGTCCCGTCTGTTACACGGCTACTCACCAAAGAAATCAATCATTTCAAATGTGTATTAGTGCAGTGATACAGTGTATTAATACAGTGATTCAGTGTATTAATACAGTGATACAGTGTATTAATGCAGTGATACAGTGTATTAATACAGTGATGCAGAGAAGTGATACAAAGTATTAATACAGTGATACAGAGCAGTGATACAGTGTATTAATACAGTGATACAGAGCAGTGATAGAGTATTAATACAATGATACAGAGCAGTGATACAGTGTATTAATACAGTGATACAGAGCAGTGATACAAAGTATTAATACAGTGATACAGAGAAGTGATACAAAGTATTAATACAGTGATACAGAGCAGTGATACAGTGTATTAATACAGTGTATTAATACAGTGATACAGAGCAGTGATACAGTGTATTAATACAGTGATACAGAGCAGTGATACAGTGTATTAATACAGTGATACAGAGAAGTGATACAAAGTATTAATACAGTGATACAGTGTATTAATACAGTGATACAGAGCAGTGATACAGTGTATTAATACAGTGATACAGAGCAGTGATACAGTGTATTAATACAATGATACAGAGCAGTGATACAGTGTATTAATACAGTGATACAGAGAAGTGATACAAAGTATTAATACAGTGATACAGTGTATTAATACAGTGATAGAGCAGTGATACAGTGTATTAATACAGTGATACAGAGCAGTGATACAGTGTATTAATACAGTGATACAGAGCAGTGATACAGTGTATTAATACAGTGATACAGAGCAGTGATACAGTGTATTAATACAGTGATAAAGCAGTGATAGTGTATTAATACAGTGATAGAGCAGTGATACAGTGTATTAATACAGTGATAGAGCAGTGATACAGTGTATTAATACAGTGATAGAGCAGTGATACAGTGTATTAATACAGTGATACAGAGCAGTGATACAGTGTATTAATACAGTGATACAGAGCAGTGATACAGTGTATTAATACAGTGATAGAGCAGTGATACAGTGTATTAATACAGTGATAGAGCAGTGATAGAGTATTAATACAGTGGTAGAGTGTATTAATACAGCAATACCGAGCAGTGATACAGGGTTGTGGTACAGTGGAGTAATACAGGCTCGTCAGTCAGATCAGCCTTGCAAGGCTCTCGCTCCTTGACCGGACGTCATAACTTCAGAACTATTTCCGTCGCCATCCTGAGGGGACTTGGAGACGTTCTCGGCCTGCAGTCACCTCTGCTTGGTGGAGGCTCGTGATGTGGTCTTCACTGGCTGAATAAACTGTCCTTCACTCCCCAGGGATAGCTTGGTCATTATATAGATGTTATTACAACCCAGCTTCATGTTGGATGGTTTTGTGCTGCATATCAGGGCCTCTGTTCCTCTGGAGACGCCCATATAAGGAGTCCATCCATAACAAGCCACCAGGCAGCCGACCGCACGCCATCCATCACAACAGGGAGCCTTCCACGGCCAGAGCGCCAGGGTTCATTGCCTTTACTTCCTATTGCTTTCCAACCACGTTGTTTAGAGAATGCTTTGCCCCGAACAAACAACAACAACAACAGCCCCTTCATCAAAGCAAACAAACGCCTTGTAAGCTTCTTAAGCGGCGAGTGTTGAATCCAGTGAGTTTGCTCCCAAACCGCAACCACTTAAACTGCTCTGGGATTTGACTGACCACAATAGGAACACAGCTGCTTTATTTCTGGTAACGAGCTTCCAGGCCGACCGAATGGACGACGAATGCCTGGATGGCTTCTTTTTTTTGCACAAAACAAGCAGCTGCAGTTTGCGTTTCACGTGTCGTCTGACTCGTCACCTGTTCTCCCGCTACTAGAACACTCTGAACGCGTACCCCTGCGGCTCCGACCACACACCCAGCCCCATGGCCAGCAAGATGGCCGTGGAGGCGGAGACCATACTGGACAGCCCGTCCGCCCGGCTCACCGCCGTGGCAGTCAGCGTGAGGCCGGGACACACCATCGCCTTCCTGGGAGACTCCAGGGGGAACCTGCACAAGGTGAGGTACCTTCAACGTGCGCTAGCTGCGATTGTTGTGCTCTCTGTTCTCTGCAGACGTCTAGAAAAGTAGTTCGATTTGAACACCGTTCTTTAGTATTCAGTCACCATTTCTTTGTCTTTAATGGTTCCAAACCATAATTTCGACCACCACGACCTGACGAACGTGTTAAGGGGCCTGAGGTGAAGAACGTTTCTTCCTGGTTGGTAATCCAGCGTTTTCTTCATTAATGATGCCCAATAGAAACTTACCTGTGAAGAGTTATTGATTTAGTTTAAATAATGATTGAATACCGTGGACATAATGTGGACAGTGAGAAGTCCACGTCTTGTTTGACCGTGAGGCGACTCGTCGGTAGAAGTAAACTCGGGGAATTTGACCCGACCGACAGGTCTGGGATGCCGTGATGCTGTGAGGTCGTTTCAGAGACACGGAGGTCTATTCACACTGACAATGCAAATAATCACATAAATGAGAATAAAAGGAATTTTAACATTAAAGCACAAACGTGCTGCATTAGAAACCAAAAGTATGAACCTGAAAATAAGATAACTAGATAGACTAACAAATGCTGTATACAAATGTGTCAAACATAATGCAAATTAATGTTTTTGTACATTTCATGTCGTTTTTTGTCGTCGTCTTGTTCCTGCAAATAAACTCCTCAGGTTTTGTTGACACCAAACCAAATTACGCCAAGAGTGGACAGCATTTACCTTCAGTAGCTTGGTGACCGTATGGAGGACAGGAAGTAGTAACTTCTAACTTCTCCTTGGACAACAGAAGTTCATTCTGCGTTTGGGCGGGACGCCCCTGCTGACCCCGGGGGGCCACTCGCCAGATACGTGTGAACCTTTGAGTCCCAGTGAGCGCGTCGCCTGAAGCTCCTCGGGTTCATTCTGATCCCCGAGGTGTCTCCCAGTGGAATGCAGCGTGCCGCTGGAGTCCCGATGGCGTTCAAAGAGATGCGAGCAATGTCCTAATGTGGAGGACAAAGCAAAGCGCAGAACAGGAATATGTGCTTCTGAATGAAGAACGTGTAAACAGCGCAGCAGTGTTGAGCCTGTTAATTACAGGCAATGCTTTTGATATTGATCAGTAATAATTTGACTTGGCTAGAAGGCCGTTGGGGGGTCTGGGAGGCCCCTTGATTTCGGCTTATAGACCGAGAACTCTCGTCCATACAGTTGTCCCTTTGTGTGGCTCGTGGCTGCGGCCCCCCCTGCGCATGCAGAAATGGCACAACGACGGGCATTAACGTATCGCTGCACAGTCAAGTCTCAGACGGGGCGCAAACCGGCGCGCCGCGAGCGGATAGCGGAGCCGCGTGCGCGCGCCGGTTTGCGTCCCGTCACCTCTGACCGGCGGTCACGTCCTCTTCCCCACAGAGAGGCTCATTCAGAACGACGGAGGGTTACCGGTCAGTGTCGCTGACGTTAATGGATGTATTGTGTGTCCGTGTCCTCTACAGCCACCCGCGGTGCACATGTCGGTTTGTCCACCTGGCGAGCGGAAGGACGGCCGCAGAGAGGATGGTGGGCACATGTGGGTTGTTATTCCACTGTTCCCTTTCATTCATTCAATTCATTTCTGTATCCGTATAGTCAGCATGTGCCCTCTGGTGGCTGTCAGAATTAGAGTGGACAAAAAAAAGGAGTAAAGTTCGTGTTCAAGGACAGAAGGCAAAGTGCGTCACTTGTTTGGAGATGGCGGCGGATCACCGTTGAACTGTGTTGATTCATTGGAAACCATTTCGTTAGCTGTAAGCTAAAGACCGCTAACCACATTCTCCTCCTTCACCTGTCGACCTGCCACGCCATCTGCCTCCTGCACACCAATTCTGGGAATAGCAGTGGTGCCGTTGCTTCACAGCTCAAAAACTCACCAGTAACTCTGGTTATTGAGGTTGTTCCCCTCCTGTCGCCAACAACCGTGCTGCAGGGCCTGATCTCCACGGCCCGCCGGCCCTTTCTCACCAACGTCACATCCCAGGAACACAGGAAGGAAATTTCAGCTAATTTGGTTCCAAAAAGTCCACCTGGAGACTCGAGGATGAGCCGATCCCATTCAGTTAATCCCCGGCGAGGTCACCCTGACCCCCTGCTGAGTGCGAGCCCATCGTGAGGATGACGACGTCTGTTGATCTTTCCACCACTCTGCTGCTGACTAGAATATCCCACGCAGCTATTCGACACTTTGCTGTGAACTGTGGTGCCGACGTCAAAGGATCGGTTCCCATTATTTTGCACTGACCTCAATAGAATTCTTACATGCTCACATTCCCAAATGTATAATCCAGTAGTTTGTCCTGTCAATCATGTTTGTAAATGTGTCGCTCTTGGAAAAATGCGCTGTTTTAAAATCAAAATTGGTCATCGACGCGAATCACGTAGACCCGAAGCCTTTTTATGTCGTGATCCTCGCAACAGAACATCTTGAACGTGACGAGCCTCGGCCAATCGGATCTTTCCTGGTGTTATTGGGGACTTTTCTGGTGTCTGACGTGACGGAACGTCCCGCTCTGCAGTTACTGTCCTCAGCGCGTCGGTCTCACGGGACAGCACAGCTTAGGCTGAAGACACAGGGGCCCGTTTGACACGTGGGGGAAGTGTATTTCCTGAGACCTCGGCGGTCTAATGGTGGTTTAAAGACGCGTCGCTGCCCAGGGAGGATCCCGCCTCTTAATGTTTGTTTGGTAGAGGTCAGCTCGGTGCGTCGTGGTGGATGAAAGGAGGTCTGTGCAGCTGGCATGCCATGGCTGTCACAGACTCTCCTCCCTCGGCCGTCTTTGTTTTTTTCTCCATATTTTGTGTTCCGCTCTTGACCTTGCTGTCAAAAGGCTTCAACTTATTGAATTCCCGGGTCCCTTCTCGTCGTCTCTCACGTGCTTGAAGCGTAGAATATGATTTGAGTGGGCGGATGTATAAAGCATGAAGAGTCTGTCTGCGCGGAGCTGTGGGATCAGAGTGTCAGGCTTCATAGTCCTCCACATACCTAGACGACTGGGATCAGCCTGCCAACATCCAGGCCGTCTTCCCATGTCACATTCATCACAGCCTCCATTGTCTGCTAACACACACACACACACACACACACACACACACACACACTTTTTTCCAGCATGGTTCCTTTCACAGCGAAGGATCCCACTGACGACATTCGATGGACTGAAGCTGACATCCAGTCTCCTGTAAAATACATCACCGGGTTGATGTTGGGCAGTCGGCCGTGCACTTTAGACAGTAAATAAAGGTGGACGTCACCCGTCGGTCTGTGGAACCTGTCGGCTGTAGACTTGTTGGTTTTGGAGTCAAAAGTGAACATATTTGGACGAGACGGCCCGGCTGTGAAAAGTGGGCTGCCAGGAACCGCGAGCGTAACAAGTGCAAAGTCCAGCTAGCGCCAGCTGTGATGTTGATCGGAGAAGGACTGAGCAGAAACAAGAGCCGACTCCTGAGCGCGAACTGCTCATCGAGCCCTGTGATTTGTATTCTAGCTGCATGTGAAAGTCCACCCGCACCAAAAGCACAGCACAGACCACCCATCTGCCTCTAGGATCAGCTCAATTACGCACAACTCTGAGCCTTACTGTAATTGAAATGGGTCAGTTACATACAGAGTCACTCACAGTGACTCTGGTTGAATCCTTTAGACAATGCTTCCTTTTTCAGGCCCACAGGTTGTCGAACCTTCGGCTCATCGGGTGGTGCCGACTATTCTGGATGAACCTCCTTGGTCAGTGTTCGTGTTGCAGTCAAAGGTGGATTCCACATTAATGTGTGATAACCGTAGCGCCAACGTCTACTGTTCTACTGTATGTGAGGCGGTTTAGTGTCTGCAGACGGAGCAGTGTGACGTCTGATCGATGAGGGATGTCTCTTGAGTCAGCGCAATACATTTGAAAAGTACGAAAAAAACTGGCTTAACCAGACGTCCGCATTCAAGAGCTACGAGCATAAAAACGCACAGATCACCAATTCCTGGATATTGAGCCTTTCTTTGAACAATCAAATCTCATTTTTACTACTGTCTCTGTACCCGCTCAAAATCCTGAGAGGGTGTAAAAGAAAGAATTGTGCGTTGCAGCTCAGTGGATGTTTACATGTCAATTAAACCAACATGCATGTGCTGGTGTACATTTCCTCAGGTGTTCCTGGGCCCAAACGGGGAGGTGGAGGAGTACTCCGTCATGTCCATTCAGCAGAACACAGCCATTAGTTCGGACCTCATCCTGGACCAGAAAGAGGAACATGTCTTCATTATGACCCATAACATGGTAAATGCACGCGGATAATTTGCACTCCTGCAGCCTCATTTCATGCTTTATAGCGCTTTCTCAACGCATCCATTCCTGTCATATAATTGCACAGCTAAAGAGAAATAATGCAGCCGCTCTTGTTTCTGCCCCAAATAGCAGCCTGTAGTTAGGATTATTCTAACGAGCATATTTCCATTATCCATTGTTCCACTGGGGGGGAAAAAGTGGGCCACCTTTTCTTTTTAATCAGATTTCTAGAGGCTTAGTGAGCACGGTATTTGCGCCGCTCACCATGATTGCGTTTCCCTGGTTGCAGCTGCAGAAGAGGCCCGTGGCTGAATGCCAGCAGCACCCAGACTGCCACTCCTGCCTGCAGGCCCACGACCCGTACTGTGGCTGGTGTGTGCTGGAGGGAAGGTGAGATCCGCCACCGCCAGTCAGGCCGGCTGAGCAACCCAATTCAGTTACAACCAACTTCCTCCTTCAGTCGAAACGGAAAAGAAGTATAAAAGTATATTAGTATACAGCGGCTACTATGGCTACAAATATGAATTACAGTGGGTGCTAATTGCTAAGACGTAGTGTGACACGTAGAACAAGGGAGTGTTCTGTCCCAGACTGTAAGCTGCAGCTTGTAGTGGCCCTCCTGCTGCTTATGATGATTTTTATTTATCAGAGGAAGAATCCTATTCTCGACAGAGACCTTCTTACCAGCCTCACTCCTTCTGTTGGGTTCTTCTTACCTTCATGAAGGCCGCGTCTAATCTCACTTCATACATTAGAGTTTAAGAAGCAACGGTCATTTGAGGAACAACACACGGCGGCGATGGTTGTCAGCCCGTGTGTTCTCCGCGCAGGTGTGTGTTGCAGTCGGATTGTTCTCGTGGGAAGCAGCCGGGTCAGTGGCTGTGGAGCTTTGACATGGAGCAGCAGTGTCTCGCCATCCAGGACCTCAACCCCTCCAACGTCAGCCGGGAGGAGAGCAGGAAGGTGAGTCTGCGGCACAGCACACACACACACCTGCAGCGGGTAAATACACGTCCCTCCAAATGATTACATCGTCCCCACATACCAAACCAACCTAAGCCCCCATATCAAAGAGACGCTCGGGTACAAACCAGCTCAAAACATTCCTGCCCAGACTAGCGTTGAGGTAAATCAACGCTGTCGACCAGTTTTAGCCTGTTTCTGTTGTGTATTTCATGGCTTTGTTCTTCCCGTGTTCGGCCACTTTGTATGTCCCCTCTTTTGTTAAGTGGGCGTAAGTGCCATTAAATACCCTTTATTTACTTATTTACACCCATCAGCCAAATGGCTCCAGATTCTCATGTCACTCCGACACGAAGACCGTACGGAGGATCAACCATCTGAAGAGGTCGCGTTGATCCACTGTCATTCTGTCCCAAATCTGGTGACAATTGATCAAATGCGTAAGAGAAGCAGGTGAAATAAAGTCACACAATTAGCTTACAAGGATACACACAACAATCCCATTTTTGTTTCTTCAGATTTCTGTTTCCGGTCCAAATTTAAAGTCCATTGTTACTCTGAATGTTCTGCTTTTTATTGTCTCATGAAATTTTGTTGTCGTCTTTAGAAAAGTTTTTTTTCCCTGAAATTCTATGAACCAAATCATTAATCAGTTTAACAACCGACGTCCTCCAGTCTTTCAATCAGAATTCCGGCGGTTTAGACCTTTAGACCTTTAGACCTTTAGACGTGCAGAGTCAGTCCTCCTCACTTTGGTCCTCAGTGGAGAGCGAGGAGTTGTCTCCCCCCCGGGTGGGTGAGACTCAATTTAGCTCTTTAGTCTCTGATTGACGGGGCTGTCACTCTGTAGAGCACAAACACCACATGAAGAAGGACGGTGGAGATGAAGATGTAAAATAATTGTGACAATAAATCAAGGAGTTTGTTCTTCAGCAAGGAATCCAATTTAGTTTTAGAATCAGATTATTCCATGTTGACATTTACAAGTGTGCAGAGAAATGAGTCACTCGCTCTCACTGTGACCTCCAGTGTCCTCTGAGACAGACCCAGCGTCTCTGTCCTCGAACGACACCAAGGACACACTGAGGACAGGTGACAAACGTCCCAGCGCTCCCGGCGGAGTTCTGAATCTGAACGTCCGTCGTCTTTCGCCAGGTGTCTCTGTCCCTCCCCGGACTCCCGGTGTTGGAGCACGGCGAGTCGTACTCCTGCTTCTTCCACGACAGCCACAGCCCTGCCGTGGTCACCCAAAGCGGGGTCACCTGCCACTCTCCGGACAGCAGCCGGGTGCCGGCCGTGCCTCCGGGACAGGGTGAGCGCCGCAGAGCAAGAGCCACCGCGCTGCACTTTAATCACCGCTTTGAACTTTGAGGATTTGAATGCATTCTGTTATGAGATTAATCTGTGTGCGCGGGGGAGTTTGCGTGTCCAGGCAGACACACACACACACGCACGCACACACACGCGCAGTTCAATCCCTGCGCCCGTGAATGTAGGTTAACCCAATCCATTTCCCCCCTAACCAGCTTACACAGCAGGGAGTAATCTGTATTTTAAAGCAAATACGACTCCCAATATCTCTGGGAGGGATTTTCTGCTCTGGTTCCGCTGGTTTGGCTGATTGTTTAGCGAGCAGAGAGCCGTTTCTGTTGCAGTGATAAAAGAAGATTTAAGGAGCTTGTTAATAAAAACCGAAGGCTCTACAGAGGTCACACTCAGCAAAACATTCACATGATGTGTGTTTGTTGTGTTATTCTCTCTCCCACGCACGCACACACACACGCACGCACAGACTGATTCCCAGGCCTGCATTCCTGAAACTTCCATCTCGTTGTAGTTCTCAGGGTGCAGGCTTCAGGGAGAACCCACCTGGGCGTTTACTGAGACGCGGACACACGGGCTGTTTTAAGGATGTAGCCTTTGCTTACCTGTGCTTAAAGAGGGTTAGTGCCAGCGCCTACTTCAAAACAACAAAGGCCAACTGTTGCTTCAAGGAGAAGATCAGATTCTCACCTGACTGCTGCCTTTTCATGAAAGCTGCTGATTTGGAAGCGATAAGTTCTGTGCAGGCTTTGTTTGATGATGTATTGTACCAGGAATACGGGTGAGATTTGCTTTTTAAGACAACCAAAACAATGCATGAAATGGACTGTTGGACCCCCAACACTTTGCAAAAGTCTTCAACGTCTACACAACGTAGTCTGGACCGAACCGGCTCAGTGTTTTGGGTAACGTGGTATTCATCTGAGACTCTGGCTATAGGAGTATCTGCGGAGCCGCGTCGGTGAAACACGATGTGGTCTGTAGGACCTTCTCACGCCGTCTTCCTCTGTTTCTGTGTCCTCATCAGACTACGTCACGGTCACCCTGTCCCTCCGCTTCGGCGACGTCGCCGTCACAGCGAGGGATTTCACCTTCTACGACTGTACGGCTGTCAAGCAGCTGTCTGGCAGCGTGCCGTGAGTTGACCGTGATTCATCTGCTCTCCTGCCTGCGCAGCACCTCGTAATGAAGTCCGCTTCTTTAGTAGCTGCCGTCTGCAGTGGATCGATTTCAAAAAGTGACAACATCTTCAGTAGACTCGAGACCTAAAAGCATTGTTTGTATGACATCAGAAGAGCTGGTCACGTGACCATATCAATACTGTGATTACGACCCAGTTCACTGTGAACCGGCCTCTCTGCTGGTGGGGATAAACTCACAGTAACCAAAAGTGAGGAGAACGCGAGGGGAGACGTCGTGATGAGCCTGATCGACGCGCTGTGCCGTGTGAACACCCTGTGGAATACTGCTTCAGTGGCCTTTCTCACCTTGTCTGTGTTTCCACACAAGCTCTCTGTCTCTGTCTCCGTCTCCACGCGACGCCGCCCTCCTCTGCTGTGATAAGGAGCTCAATTCAATTAGATCGCTGACCTTCTGCAACCACTGGGGCCACATTGGCAGTAATTGGATTGCTCCGTGTGGCACAGTGGAAGCTGAACCTCTTTGTTCTCTCCATATCTCCAGATAGAAAGGCTGCAGTAGTTCTAGGAGACTTCTCTGCGTCTTTCTCCCGTCCCATGTGTCTGATCTGTACGTCCTTTCTGCTTGCAGTTGCCGCGGTTGCGTTCTCAGCCGATGGGGCTGTAACTGGTGCGTTCACCAGCACTTGTGCACCCACAAGCCCACCTGTGAGGAGGGGGTGATCATCTACAACCAACATGTAAGTCACTCAGACAGAATGCGCAGACGTTCCTTCTGGGAGAGTTCGGGACGCTCGTATTGGCATCCGATCGCAGGGTGATCAATTTATCCACCGCACATCGACCCCCCACAATGACAACACAACCGCAGCTGGTGAACGTATAAGACGTTACACAGGTTACTTTGGGAAAGTGTTGAGTCGAGCGAGTGGATCAGAGGAATCGCGTTGAGCCGTCTGCTTGATTCTGTTCCCGCCATCATCTCCACGTGAAGCACAAGCTATTCTCTCTTTTAGGATTTGAGATAAAACAAGTACGGAACGCACACATCTTTGGTGACGGGTTGCTGTCAGTGTTTTTTTTCTTATCAAGATAAAAGCACTAAAATGTATTGGTTGGTTTGCACTCGAGTATTTGTAATTCATGAGAACCTGGTAAGTGGTTTTTGGATACATTCATCGCCTCATATTCCATTTATTGATACCATTTATCTGTGAGAGACGTCATTTCTGTGCATGTGTCACAAGCAGCAGTAACAGCCGGTCGCGTCCCTTTAAGTTCACTTATTGTTTTTTTCCTTCATCCATTAGTGTTTTATTATTTTTCTCTCACCCTCTCATCTCCCCCGCTCCCCTCCCCCAGTTTAAACTCCCCACCTCGGCTCCGCCCACAATCAAACCGATAAAGGTCGTCACAGCAGCCGCTACCACGGCGGCTGCCCTGGCAACTAGTACCATGGCAACCACCACAACGACTCCCGCAACCACAACGACTCGCCCCCCGGCGTCTACTGCCGCCGCTACAACGACGACGACGACGGCGGCGCCGGCCCCCGTCACTGTGGCAACCACTCAGCAGCCGACCAACCCTCCTCCGCCCACTGCCCCGCCCGTGACCACCGCCAACCCTGAGCCGACAGCCCCACCCACCACCCTGCCCGCGCAGCCCCCCAGCACCCTGCCATTCACCTCCGCAGCACCCACTCCGCCCCCAAAGGTCGCCGCCGGGGAGCAAGAGCAGACGGAAGCAGGAGGGCTTCTCGTTGACGCGGACGGTGCCGCTGCCACACCCACGGCCTTCGCCGAGGCCCCGGAGCTGGTGCCCGTCACCTTAGCGGACGGTTTAGGTGCAGGTCTGGACCCCGTGGTGCCGCTGATAATCCCGCCCCATGAACCGGATTCTTACCCCCTGGAGGTGTTGACGGAAGCGGAAGGAGCCTTGAGCCTGGTGGAGCCGCCCACCCCGGCCTCCTCCGGCTCCCCGCTGCCAACTTCCTTCCCCTTGGATGAGCGTGGCTACTCCCCCGAGCCCCCTTTCTACCTGGAGATGACCCGGACGCCCACCCTGGTGCCCACACAAGACCCCCACACCGTGGCGGCGGTGCCAGGCAGCGACCCTGAGCTGCTCCTCTACCCTAAAGAAGAAGAAGAAGACGACGTCCACGCCGTCCAGTCAGAAAACGACAACGCCACATTTTCCGCTGGCACCGTTTTGTCCGGCGACGGCGAGGTCGACCACGCGCCCCCCTCCTACCCCCACCTGTTGGACAGTGACTCAGAGCTGGACTATCAGTATGATCCAGCTGACGCCTTCCTCCCGGTGAGTTCAGCCGCCCTCTTCCTCCGGCCTCTTCTCTTACTTCTTCATCTGAAAGCTTCCCGGCCTCCCGGCGCTCCTCCCAGCTCCTCGCTAGACTCCCCTCCTGCCCCCGGTTCCCTGCTCCTCCTCTACTGTGTGCTAGCAGCCTCTTTTGGTTTTGCTGTTTCTCATGAGAGCTGCTGCAGCTGTTTGTTTTTGCTTCTTACACATGTACATCACACATGTAATCAGTATTATGCATTATATCCGTGACGTCTGTTAAACGAATGTGGCCTGCAGCGGCGATGAGCAGCTGGAGACCTGGGCTAGTTTCTGTCTCTTCCAACTCGTCTCCAGCTACAACTGACCCGGGATCAGAGGGGAATACTGTGCGTCGGTGTAAGCTGATGGAGGGGGGGGCTTGGATGATGATGCATTGTCTGTGTTTATAGGGGGACGAGGGCTCCTACTTCAGCTGGGGGTCTTCAGCTTGTCCCTGCGTGGAGAAGGTCCAGGGTTCATCATTGCTCCCTATCAGGGTGGAGAGGAAGATCACCTTACTAGCCCGCAACCTGCACCTGTACCAGGTACACACACACACTCTGAGCCTCAACACGTGTCAAGCATGATTCTATCTGCCTGGCTGGTGATTCCTGCATCAAACGCAAGTCTGTGTGTGTTCAGGACACGGAGCTGGACTACGAGTGCGTGCTGGTGATCGAGGGGCAGACGGTGGTGGTGGACGCGTACGTGGAGGCTGATGACGTGAATCCGTCAAACTTCGACATCACTTGTCAACTACACCAGGTCTGTAAATGTGCTCTCCAGCACAAAGAGGCAACCTAAGAGTTCAGTCTCGGTTCGGCGTTGAACTCCAGGGGTTAAGTTTAGGTACTGACTTTCTTTTTCTTTTGTCCAGTACACATATTTTGCTCAAGCGGAGGAATACAATGCCATGGTGTACGTGAAGAGGAGGGACACCTTCCACGTGGACAGCTCCCCTGATTTATATGGTGAGAACATCCTTTGCATCGTCATACTGCTACCATCTCTCCAAACAAACTCCCCGCTGTCAGACTTGCACCCTGAGTGACGCCCGTGTCTCCCTCAGTGACTTTGTACAACTGCGCCGTCGGCCGCTCCGACTGCAGCCGCTGCCACACGGCCGACAGCAAGTACGGCTGCGTGTGGTGCGGCGGCGCTCAGGCCAGCTGCCTGTACGTGGACTCCTGCAGCGAACCTGTACAGGAGACATGCCCCGCCCCCGTCATCCACTCCGTGAGCATTGACCTTTCACCTCTCTGCTCTGTGTTTTTGATCTTTGGATTCAAGTTAAGGAATATATTGGCACTTGTTGATGGAGGGCTTCCGCCTGACTCCCCTCAGATTGAGCCACTCTCCGGCCTGTTGGAAGGTGGAACCATGGTGACCATCTCTGGCTCCAACCTGGGCCAGAAGGCAGAGGACATCCTCCACTCGGTGTCAGTGGCCGGGGTCCCCTGCACGGTCATCCCCGGCCTCTACGAGGTCTCCTCCAGGTACTTGTTTTATCTTCCTGCTTCACACTGGGACAGATGCACCCAAATTACCCTCTAGATATTTAAAGTATCTTATCTTAAAAATAAGTGGGTCCTCACTAAAGGGGCGTCCCGTCATGGGCTAAACCAAACACCTCCAGGATGCATGTGTGGGTTCCTCTCTTCCAGGATTGTGTGTAGAACCCAAGCCAGCGGTGGAGAGAAGGTGGGCCCCATGTCTGTGGAAGTGAGCGGCGGAGAGTTTGGTCGGTCCAGCCAGACATTCAGCTACCAGGTACAACACCTTCGGCGCCATAAGGAGGCTTTTGTTGACCAGTTGTGGTTTGGAATCAGCGACAAAACGTCCGTCCTGTGCTCCCTCTCAGGACCCGTTTGTGATGGGTGTGACCCCTGAAAGGGGGCCCAAAGCCGGAGGGACGTCCCTGACAATAATCGGACGAAACCTGCTGACGGGACGTCCCTCTGACCTCGCCATCACCGTGGGAGGGGTGCTGTGTGACATGTAAGACAGAGGGAAAGGGGGGCGGCGCTCGCTCAAGAGTCCCGTCGTTTACTAAAGCGTCTATTTTACTGGCGTGTCTCCCCTCAGCGTGTCAGAGGTGCAGAGCTCCAGTGTTCAGTGCGTGACCGGGAGCAGCAACAAGACCGGAGACCAGCGCGTCACGCTGCACTACGGCAGCAGCCAGCGCCACCTCCACGCCGCCGCCTACCGCTACACCCGCAACCCCAACATCACCCACGCCGCGCCGGCCAACAGCTTCTTGGAGTGAGTCTGATCGCCGGCTCGCGACAACCTTCTCCGGTCTTCTTCTTCCTCCGCTTCGTCTCACGCGTGCTCCTCTGCCTGTTTAGCGGCGGGCGGCTGATCTACGTGTCGGGCCACGACCTGGACGTGGTGCAGGAGCCTCGGATGGTGGTGACCGCCTCTCCGTTCGGCTCCACCAGCCGGAATGAAAGGAGGAAGAGGGGGAGGAGGACTCTGGGCAGGTCGGCCAGGATGGTGCCTGAGCCGATCTGTCCCAGAGACCAACTCTGCTCCGTCAGACAGGTGCGCGTCCGCCTCGCCTTTCTAAAATAAAAACGTGTCCCTTCCTTCTGCTGAAAGCCTTTTCCCTGCTGCCTCTCACCAGTTCACGGAGCGTTGTGAGGTGAACTCCTCCTCCCTCATCCTGTGCCGCTCTCCTATGGTGGACTCCTCCGTCCGGGGGTCAAAGGTCACCACGGAGTTCCTGCTGGACAACCTGCGCTTTGACTTCAGCCGCGTGAACTCGCAGACCTTCGGCTACGAGCCCAACCCCGTCCTGCGGCCCCTGAACCAGCAGGACCCGCTGAAGGCCTACCGCTACAACCCGGGCAGCTTCATCCAGCTGGAGGTCAGAGCGCAGGCTGTGATTGGCAGCAGAGCTTTTACACGCGCAGCAGATTTAGTTTTCCGGGTCGCGTTGTTGTTGTCGGTACTGAAGTCGCAGAGACGACCTTTTGGCTTCCTTCAGAGCAGCTAGCCGCCCGCCTACAGCCCCGAGCCAGAAACAACCATCTGAGTAAGAAAACCAGATCCAAATAGCAGTTTGTCCACCAGCTGTCCTTCGCTGCACCCGCTGAGGCTTCTGGGAGCGATTGTGTTGACTCGCCAGTAGAGCTTCTTTCCTTCCACAGAAGGAGCGAGCTGCCGTTGACAGTGTGGGAGGTTCTCTTGGTGCATCCTGTTATTATGGTATCGCCTTGATGCGTAAAGGTGTAATTAAACATCTGTCCTCTCCCTCTGTGCTGTCAATGCGGCCTTCAAGAGTTAAATTTATGTCTGAATGACGAGAGGGACAAAAGCCGTTTATCTGTCTGAAAAAACAAGTTAACAAGTGCTTGAATGCTCTGCTGGTTTATCGCGGCCTCCTCACTACAGTATTGAGGCTCAGCCGTGTAATAAAGTAGCTTATTAAAGTAAGTGCAGGTGGAAATAAAAGCTGAATTGTGTGTGCTCAGGGGGAAGACCTGGACCTGGCCATCACGAAGGACGAGGTGGTGGTGCTGGTCGGCGAGGGCGTCTGTGCCGTAAAGACCCTGACCAGAAACCATCTGTACTGCGAGCCGCCCCCCCAGCAGCCGCCACCAGCCCCCAACGGCAAGAGGCGCGAGGGCTCCGACAACCTGCCTGAATTCACAGTGAGTCGTTGCTGATTACGTCGTGGGAATATTTGAATGCAGAGTTAGTGGTGGCATTTCAAAAAAGTCATGTCATGTAAATGTGATTTAAAGACATTTAATGTCATTCGGGCTCTTCGGGCCATTTGCTTAACGGACTGTGTGTGTGTTTCAGGTCCAAATGGGCAACCTGAACTTCTCCCTGGGGAAGGTTCAGTATGACAGCCTCAGCCTGTCCACCTTCCCCCTGGAGGCTCAGATCGGAGTCGGGGTCGGGGCGTCCATAGTAGCCCTCATCGTCCTCATCATCGTGCTCATTTACAGGTCGGTGTGTTTCTGTGTGTGTGTAGAAAAAGAAGTGATACACAAGTTGACCTGTTAGTGACAACAATATCATGGCAGCTTGTCGGGAAGGAAGCCCGGTGACGCTGTGTGACTGCCGTTATATTCACTGTCCTCTCGCCTTGAGCTATGGGAATAGAAATGGGTGCTGTAATACTCACGAGTCTCCCTTTAAGGACCACCTCATGATCCTCACATGCACTTCAACTTTTGCATTTTTGCCCTTTCTAAAAAGGGTGTGTTTAGATATATTACCGCACACTGGGGTCCCCAAACAGGCTTGAGTTGCTTAATTTGAGTTTGAATGGAACGCTGAGCCTCCCATGAATCCGATGAGCGCGGCTGTAATGATTGTTATAGTGAGTTGTTCCATTGTAGAGAGACCACTTGAAACGTCGCGGTACAAAGCGGCCTGTTGGGACGTCACTGCCAGCTTGATAATCAGGGGCTTTCTGAGAATGTTCCACACCACAAGTAATCGCTATCACAAGGTCTTGGTGCCCTAATGTGTTCACCCTTTTTATCACTTTGCTAGGAGTTCAAATCGGTTACATTTGTGTGACAAAAGACATAAGTGTGCATGAAATTCTATGTTTGTGATTTGAGACGCGGCTGCTTTCATTGATGTGTCTTCTACTGTCCACCACCCCGCTGACAGACCGGGGACGTCTCAATGCGTTATATATATATGACCTCTATGCGACCTCTGGTAGAGCTAAAGATCAATGTGTGATAGTGAGAACTAATTAGGGCTTGTTACTAAGCATCAATACTTCTCTGTCTGACTCATTCCATGAGAGTGCAACTCAAAAGTGAAGCACCGGCCTCTCCGATCATCTTTAATGCCAAAAACAACATTTGGTAAAAGGAGAAACACTGGCCAGAGCAGATGGGGATTAACAGTATAATACTTCTAGGAAGTGGTCAGCAGTGTTGCCCCGCTCCATAAGAATTGTCCCGCTCATTGAATCCACGGTAACGTTATACTTCCTGCATCTCCCAGAGCATTATGGGAACAGTGGGATCAGACTAGTCCCCTGATCCTTGCTGCTGGGCGTTTGTTGGGTCAAATTACTCGAGTCGACACTCACTGGATTCCCACTAATCCGGTGTGAAAGTGGTATTGTCCTGTGTTCACTCTGCCTGCCCCCCCCCTTCCCTCCCCCCATCAGGAGAAAGAGTAAGCAGGCTCTGCGAGACTACAAGAAGGTGCAGATCCAGCTGGAGAACCTGGAAACCAGCGTGAGAGACCGCTGCAAGAAAGAGTTCACAGGTAGAAGGACCTGCTCCGAGGTTTGGGGCGGGGGGGCCGCAGACAACGTTTGTTCAGTTCTTAAAGGCCAACAGATTTTGTTTTCACACTCGCTGCATTTATCCCATTACATCACGGCTGCTGGATGAAACGCTCCCCTCATCACACGCGGCTTATGGTCCAGGAGTTAAGTTTAGCCAGTCAGGGTCAATATTGACCATCTCAGACCTCCCAGCACACACTTTGGATCCGACACGTGTCCGAGGTTGAAGACAAAAGGGCGCGTAGCAACACCTCTTGATCGTTCACCCGTCCCCCTCAGATTTGATGACTGAGATGATGGACATGTCCAGCGACCTGGTGGGCTCCGGCATCCCTTTCCTCGACTACCGGAGGTACGCCGAGCGGATCTTCTTCCCCGGCCACCGGGAGTCTCCGCTGAGGCGAGACCTGGACGTCCAGGAGTGTCGGCGGCAGACGGTGGAGCAGGGCCTGGTGCAGCTGTCCAACCTGCTCAACAGCAAGCTCTTCCTCACCAAGGTATGTGTCCCCCCCCCCCCCCCCCCGGCCGGCATGGTGAGGCCGCAGGACGCGGGGATAACGCGCCGCTCTCCTCTTCGCTCTTCAGTTCATTCACACTCTGGAGAGCCAGCGGACCTTCTCGCCCAGGGACCGGGCCTACGTGGCCTCCCTGCTGACGGTGTCGCTGCACGGTAAACTGGAGTACTTCACAGACATCCTCAAAACCCTCCTCAACGACCTGGTGGAGCAGTACGTGGCCAAGAACCCCAAGCTGATGCTGCGACGGTAGGAAGACGAGGTCGTGGGTAAAAGGTGTTCAGGTGGCCGGCAGGGATTCAAACTGTGTGTTCGTCCCCTGTAGGACGGAGACGGTGGTGGAGAAGCTGCTGACCAACTGGATGTCCATCTGCCTCTACGCTTTCCTCAGGGTGAGGCGCAATGACCTCTTAGTTCCAGCGTTGACCAGGTGTATTTTATCAGCGAACAAGGGATGAACACCTGCTTCAGTAGCAGCCTCACCGGCTCTGTTGGTCTGGTCTGTTTGGCCCTCGTCTCCTGCAGGTTTAGTCCATCAGCTCAAAGGGCTTTGTTATTGGTAATGGGAATTATATAAGGTGATCCAGGGGAATCGCTTGTATACGTTCATGTTTGCAGGATTACTGTGTTCGCAATATTTAAAAAGTGATGTATCCTCATCATTCATTTTCACATTCATTTAATGTGCAGTCCAAAGTACTGACATCTGTTTAGTGCCAGGGAATATTTAAATGCAGAGTTAATGGTGTTATTCATAAGAAAAAAGAACGTCCTTGTCATTTCAGGACATGATCTCCTGCAGAGAGGCCATTGCTGATGGTGTGTGTGTGTGTGTTTGTGCGTAGGACTCAGCGGGGGAGTCTCTCTACATGCTGTTCAGGGCCATAAAGCACCAGGTAGATAAAGGGCCGGTGGACGCTGTGACCGGCAAGGCCAAGTACACGCTTAACGACAACCGCCTGCTGCGAGAGGACGTGGAGTACAAGACCCTGGTGAGGAGCACTCCGATCTGGTTTAAGAGTCCCACACATCCAGCACCACCTTTCCGGGAACTTTGTCCCCCGTTCATCCTCTCACCCCGTCTTTTCCGCTCTTCTCCCGCAGACACTGAATGTTTTGGTGCAGGGCGGCGGAGTGAACGAGAGCCAGCCGCTGCCCGCCAAAGTGCTGGACTGTGACACAATCACACAGGTGAAAGAGAAGCTGCTGGATCAGGTGTACAAGGGCACCTCCTTCTCCCACCGGCCCCACGGCGACTCGCTGGACCTGGGTGAGAGGCCGCGCGCACCGCGTCACACAGCGGCGTGTGAGATCTAGTGGCATCTGGTGGTGACGTTGTAGATTGCAGCCAGCTGAATACTGGCGTCCACCAACGCCTCCCTTTAGTAGCGCGTAGACAGTGTGGTCTTCGGGTAACGTCCAAACCTGTCCAGGTTCAGGTGATCAACAAAGAAATAAAAATGATTACTTTATTTCATTCCTGCTATTACATGCTACTAAATCCTAGACTGGCCGTTCATTTCCATTTCTGAATGTTTTTCACTGGTGAGATACATTTTGAATCGTTCACTTGCTTTCAAGGGCTTTTCCTGTCCCTTCGTTGAGCTGTGGTGCCCCCTACTGCCCCGGCCAAGTTAATGCAAGGACAGTCGGTTAATAATAGAACCCAAACTGACCCAAACCCCAGCAGGAATAGCTACTGGAGAAGAATCTGTATGTGTGTTCGCACAAGTTCCATCGTAAATGTTCCACATTTAGTTAATCAGGTAACCATCACATCCAAACACCGTCAAGGATTCACACACTCTGACCTTCTGGCTGCTGTGTGTCCTTCAGAGTGGCGCTCGGGTGTTGCTGGTCACCTCATCTTGTCCGACGAGGACTTGACCTCGGTGGTTCAGGGCAATTGGAAACGCCTGAACACGCTGCAGCACTACAAGGTCAGAGGTCACCCTTCACTGCACCATGGCTCTTTTTAACGTGTAAGGCGGCTTCGTGGTCCATGAGGTAACACAACCGTACGCTTTGTGTTGATCACCAGGTCCCAGACGGTGCGACAGTGGCGCTGGTGCCTCGCCACACCAAACACATTCACCACGACAACCACGACTACGTCGCCGGAGAGAGTGAGTTTGCACGGGAACAGCGTTGTGGTGAAACGGGAGGCCTCTGCGCGTCCAGCCTGTAGGGGGTGGCGGTTAGTAGACGACCGTCCCGACGCGGCGTTGGGTCGTTCCATCCAGCCTGTACGGGCCCACCGGATGTCCCAGAATGATTCACTTTCTTTCAATAATTCGGATGTCTACATACATTTGCGATTTGCGACATTTGCGGCTTCCTGCTCTGTCCTCGACCAGCCTTTAGTTATGATGTATACAGCCACACCTCTGCCTAAATAAGGGGCCGCACAGGAGCAAGAAAGCATTAGGGGCCACGCCCACCTCTCTTAGTTTGCGTATTGAACACGCCTCACTCGTGTAGACTCTGGCGTTACAGCTGGATCCTCTTCCAGGGGCGATAAAAGGTTATTGTGTTGTTCTCACTTTAAATCAATAAACATCGAAACCCAACAAGTGGGCTGCCGTTGTATATCGACGGGGAGGTCAGAGCCCCACTAGTCAGTGATCTGTTTGGTACGGCGTTCTGTGCAGAGACCCCGATGCTGGAGGACGCAGATGAGGGGGGGGTGAGGCTGTGGCATCTGGTGAAGGCCGGCGAGGAGCCCGAGCTGCCCAAACACCGGCGAGGCAGCCTGAGGGAGAGAGAGAGGGCCAAGGCCATTCCTGAGATCTACCTGACCCGCCTGTTGTCCATGAAGGTACGCGCACACACACACAGTCACACACACACACACAGTCCTGTTTGTTTGGCCCTTCCCTCTCTCGCTCTATGTTCTCACACAGCTAACATGTGTGCGTTGTTTAAACACGCCTGTTGTCTTGTATATAAAGGGATGCCGCCCACAGTAACACATGGCGCCACTCCTCCGCCCTGCAATGTGCACATCGCTGAGCGCTGAATCCTTTCCGCTGTCCTCCTCTTGCTTCTTCAGGGGACGCTGCAGAAGTTTGTAGACGATCTGTTCACGGTGATCCTCAGCACCAGTCGTCCCGTCCCGCTGGCCGTCAAATACTTCTTCGACCTGCTGGACGACCAGGCAGCCAAACACGGCATCTCCGACCCGGAGACTATACACATCTGGAAAACCAACAGGTACAGCATGGACACCCGGACAGAGTCCAGCAACGGGAGGGCTTCAGAGGGATGTTGGACGGGCTTTTACCTGCTGATCAGTTCATGTTTGAAATGAGTGATGTTTGATGTCTCTAACGTATCCTCTGCCCCCCCCCCCCCCCCCCCCCCCGAAGGTTCAAATGGGTTTTTGGGAAAACATATGGGAGAACCCTCAGTTCATCTTCGACGTGCAGGCGTCGGACCACGTGGACGCCGTGCTGACTGTCATCTCCCAGACCTTCATGGACTCCTGCACCATCGCTGAGCACAAGCTGGGCCGGGTGAGGCGCGACTCCACGTACACACATGATGGAGGACGAGTACGAGACGTTGAGGCTGTTTGTTGACTCGGGCCTCTTGTCTCTCTGACCAGGACTCTCCCATCAACAAGCTGCTGTACGCCCGAGACATCCCCCGCTACAAGCAGATGGTGGAGAGGTGGGTCCGGGTGGTCCGGGTGGAGTTCAAGCTAAAACCGCTCCTTTAAGAATGGAACCTGCACATCGCACACAAAGCATCATCGATGCTCTAGTATACGTTACATTACAAGTTGCATTTCTTTTGAAGCAGTTTGGTTACATATAGATCGGTAGCACTTATGCATTTATAATGCATTAATCAATAATACTCCGTACCGCCATGTTTAAAACATTAAACATACGTATAACACACTATAAAGCATCTTTGGATGACGAGCTCAGGTATCATAATACTTCATTATACTATAATATCCTATAGTGGTAATACATTTCAATCGTAATGCATTTACTTTAAGTAAAGCAAAATATGTTGATTTGCGATTAATTACAAAATGTAATAAATTGTTGAAAAGTAGTGCATAAAATCTCAACTTAACTAGAATCTATAAAACCCACAGCTATTTCATACTGCCTGGGTATTACTATTTTCTCTATTTTGTTCTAGAAAAACAAGTTCCATCATAACAGGCACCTTCTTAGCGACAGGAGCATTTAATGTTTTCCCAACATATCATATTGGGGGGAGAGGCTCCCACCTCCATGAAAGCAGTAGATCTCATTTAAGGTACTTTTACAACGGAACAGGTCTATATACCTCCTTATTTTATTAAACAACGTGAACAATAATCCATTACAATGTTACAAGAGGGACGATACTTCATTGTAAAAATGTACCGGGGAGATTACTTGGAAATAAGTGTTGTGCTACGTATCAGTCAGCACATGTTTTGCTGTGGCGTTGATCCTATTGAGCCGTGCGTGTGGATTTGATGGTTTCCGGCCCTGGTTGCAGGTACTACGCCGACATCAGGCAGACCATCTCAGCCAGCGACCAGGAGATGAACTCTGCTCTGGCGGAGCTGTCCAGGGTGAGTGGATGCAGCCTCCGCTCGCAGCGCAGCGGCCCGCAGGCCCGAGTCCAACCAGCATGCTCTGTGTTTCAGAACTACTCCGGAGAACTCAACTACCTGGTGGCCCTGCACGAGCTCTACAAGTACATCAACAAGTACTACGACCAGGTGTGTCTATCGCGATGGTGTGCATGGCGGGCCTACAGCACTCGTTTGTGTTTACACCGAACCGGGCGGGCATCATTGTAGAAAAATGCTTTTTATATTGTGCGTCTTCACTGGCTCAGTCATTTCTGCTGAATTATTATTAATTATTATTATTATTGCAATAATAAGCAATTAAGGAATTATGTATTTAGCATCTTGACTCCACTAAAGAGTGGTTACACAATGTCATCTTCATCAAACAATTATGAAAGTGAATTTAGAATCTCAAAAAGATGAATAATATAAACAGCTGAACTAATACCGAAGTAGATGTGTTGACATAAAACCTAAATAAAGTGGTAGTTGAAGCTCAAACTGCCACTGAAATGATCAGTTGGTCAGGAGTCAAGTCAAGTCATTTTATTTTGTATAGCCCATAATCGCAAATTACAAATTTGCCTCAGAGGGCTTTACAGTCTGTACACATACAACATCCTCTGCCCCGAAACCCACCATCGGCACAGGAAAAACTCCCCAAAAAAATGAAAAAACCCTTCCAAGAGGGAAAAAAGGGAAGAAACCTCAGGGAGAACGTCAGAGGAGGGATCCCACTCCCGGGATGGACAGACTACAATGGATGCCATGTGTACAGAATGAACAATGTATAATACATGCAATTATATGACAGAAATGATTCAAGTAACTGTGAGTAGTAAGCCAGGCGCACAGCAGGACCACTGCAGGGGCAACCACCATCCACAGAAGCCTGTGGGGAGGGAGAGCACAGAGATTTTAGGAGAGGGTAATGTCGGTTTATGAGTACAGTAATATGATTAATATCTAAAATAATGATGATGATGATGATGGCAGCAGCAGGCGTCAGCATGGCCACGGCAGGTGTCAGGACCAGGGTCCAGAAGGAACGTGTCAGGAGGACACGCGGGAGCCTTTCAGGGGATGGACAGTGTAGTACAGTCACTATATTGGCTTTCATTTAGTTAGGATCCCTCTTTCAATCCACAGCTTGGAAAAGGAAAATAAAACGTCTATGATTTTTCTGTAATATTGATCGTGTGGTTCATGTGTGCCATTTTATGCGCACAGCTAATGTATCCTGCGTTTGTGTTGCTCTCTGCTCAGATCATCACGGCGCTGGAGGAGGACCCCACGGCCCAGAAGATGCAGCTGGGCTACCGGCTGCAGCAGATCGCGGCCGCCGTGGAGAATAAAGTCACCGACTTGTGACAGAGGAAAACACCCACGAGAGCCGCGGGGGGGGGGTCAACAGACGGACAGCTCGAACTGAAAAGCAGGAGAGCCACAACCAGTTCCTCTTTGGGGGGGGGTTGGAGTGACGTGCTGCCTACGACTTCGGTCCGGACGCTAGAAGCAGGACGGCTCGCGGCGGCTCTGTCTGCCTCCTCCAGCTGCTCTACAGTCAGCTGATCTCATCCGAAGTGACCTAAATGTCCCGTTCTCCCCTCTGAGTCCATTTGATGAGGCGGTACCTCTTATGCCTTGTGTGCTTCTCGCTGCTGTATGATCAGAAGTGATTTCTGTGTGTGTGTGTGTGTGTGTGTGTGTGTGTGTGTGTGTGCACCTTGTACTGTCACATATCCTGGTACAAACTTCTACCGGTTGTTTTATTTTAAGTTGTCAGTATTCATAAAACCTGAGTTTTAATGCTCTGAAATGGACCCGCCCTGGTCCCATTTCTCACAAGTAGTCACAAAGAGTTTAGTAGTCAGCAATCAGCCTCCTGTTCTGCAGACAGCAGCAGCACTGTGTTCACTTCAGCCAGCAGCACCGACTCGCCCTCGTTCACACGTCCAGTCCCAGCTGGACGCTCCCATCCGCAGCGGTAGAGACTTTTTTTACACCTTCATTGTCTTTCCTTTCAGTTATTTGGTACTCAAACCCCCCCAACGGAGGGTCAGTGTACCCTGTTCTTGTTACTTTCCTTGCTTTTATACTTATTCATGTTTCTATAGTGTGCAAATTACTGGAAAGATGTTGGAGGAACAAGCAAAAAATGCTTCCAAGAGCAGAATCCTAGAGCGCACCGCAGTGTTTTAATGTGTCAGCAGTTTTATTTTATACATTTTTAAACATTCCTTTTGGGTTTTAAACGGCGTATTGAAATCATGGTTTGCCTCGTTCCACTCCAAGCCGGGGGCATGGTACTTTGTTTTCTGTGTGTGTTCGTGTCGTGGACGTCGTGGTCGGTGCACGGTTCTGCTGGTGGACACACGGTGGCGCCGCTTCACGTGCTGCGGGCAAGTTTTGCTACGACTGGTTCACTTTCTCCCACAGCACAGAGACCTTATGTAGACGAGCTAATGTTTGCTTATGTCAATGAACCTGGTTGGTCGTGGCTCCTTAAGGCTTAACAGGGTTGGACATTTGTTTGACCTCTTGGATTCCCGTGGGACGACCTTTCGCGGTTGGGCTTCTGTCGGGTCGATGTGTAGTCAGAGCTGCAGACCCGGTGTCGTCTCTATTCAGAAAGTCACCCAGCCACTGGAATCAGTGACCGAAAACACATGACAATGTAGCCTTAAGGTTTATTACTCCATTATTTAACACACAAGCAACTAATGACTCGTATGGAGGGTTTGTTCTGTCGTACACTGTCGGGTGAGAAAGGCATGAAGGAAATCCGTTTGAGGGAGAACTATAACTGTCGTTAGGCTGTATAAATTTGGCGATGTAGAGCAGGCTCTGCAAGGAGCAGTTTAGGGATGTTTCTTATTTTGTGTGTTAATATCATTGTACATACTGACTCAAAAATTGTAACCGTAGCGTTAACCTGTTAATTAAGAGAAAGTGCAAATTCTCACAGATGTGGATGTAATAAAATGTTCAAAAAATGAGTCTTTGATTTATTGGGGGGCAGCATGCAGATTATCCAATGCTATCTATGCGTGTTCGTGTGGCCGAGATTACCATGGAGACGCTGTGGACGCGACCCTGTCATGTCCATGTGTGTCCTAGTAACTAATTACCGCGTGCGCAGTGCAACGGGGTAAAAATCTAGACACATTCTCAAATAATGCAAGAAATTCTCATTGTGGGTTTTACGTTTAAACAAATAAGTGTGATGAGATTATAAGTGTCTCCCCGCGCGTATACTAGTGGTGACTATGGCACATCTGCATCATGCACATCTGCATTATGCACCCATCGCTACATTTTTAATAGCACCAGAAAATCGGAAACACCGCAGTCGACACAGCGGGCAGCATCCCCTGCTAACAAACACAACGGTCCCAAGATGGAGTAACGCTGCAGACGGCGCAGTCGGGCATCCCACTGGATGTAATTTCACATTCAACTAGAAATTGTATCTGTCGCAGGTGAAACGTAGGACGAGAAATACCGCCTCCGTTGTTCCTGTTGTCAAGCCAGCTGCGCTGAACAGGTAACTGCAGGCGGCTAGCTGGGCCGGAGCTAGCCCCGTTTAGCGATAGCGGCTAATGCTAATGTTAGCAAGTGATGTGACAAGAGCCGTGAGGGAGGTTAATTTGGCGCTAATGCTAAGGCCAAGTCGGGGAAGCATCCGCTTTATATCGTATTCTTTCTACCCCCCATCATAATTATAATGTTAAATTAAAAGAACACGTTCGTTGCTAACGATAGCTGCTTTGTTCGTCAGGCTAATATGAATGATGTGTAGTTAGCTAACGTGTGTGTGGTGAGCTAACGTTAGCTCACTTGACCACAGCCAACTTCGCTAGCCGTTAGCTGAACGTTGTCCAACGTTAACCTGTTTAATGGCGCTTTATTATTTTCTTAGGTTATCTGCATATTTAACGTAACGTTATTTCGCGCTCCGTCGAAGTGTCACCACGACATTGCTTGGAGGTGTAACGTCAGCGTGCGACGTTTAGCGACGCGATGAATGGATGTAACCGTCGCATTGTGCCGTTTAGCGGCGGCTGCTTTAAGGCGACTCCCGTCGGTTCATCGCGCTAGCTGGTGATGCTCCGCGTGCGCCGCGCACCCGCCCGCGTGTTAAGAGAAGCGGGGACTATTGAACGCTGTTAACTACGAGCCCGAGGAATGAAGCTGAACGCGATTTAAAGAGCTCTTTAAACTGCACACTGATATCGGAAAGATCGACGTCGGACCCGAGGTAGATCGGTCGCTTTTAGGCTCACGGTGGCCCGCTTTGTTGCCGATGGTATCGTGTTTCACGCGGTTGAGCGCTGAGCGTTCTGCTTGATCTTTGTCTTCATTACAGCCGAGAATGGATCCAGCAGAGCAGTCGGGCCCGGACTCCGGCCCTCAGGATGTCAACCCGGTGTTCCTGCAGCAGCTCAGGGAGCTGGACATCCCCGAGGAGGCAGCCAAACAGGTGGGCCTGCATTACGTCCACACCGGGGCCAGAAGCTTATCCGAAACCGACTCATTCTGCATGTACATGGAATCATGTCCGTGGGAAAACGCAGCATAGCAAAGGCGAAAATGAGTTTAATCCAAGTATTCCGCTACATCACCACATCGGACTGGGCTTTCCTTATTGCCCTTGCAAAATAATCAGTCAGTTGCTCTGCATGTCAGGCGTCACCCCGCCGTTGTTTGTTGCTGACCTTCTGTCATTGTTTCCCACCACTTCAGGCACTTCTACACACAAGGAATGTGTCTGCAGAGGAGGCGGCCATGTACTACTTCAACAAGCTGGAGAATGAGGTGCCCATAAGCTAGCCTTAGTCCTCACAGGTACACCTTGGTACTTAAGACCTCGTGGAGTTTGTCCAAAGCCAAATCTCAGTGTCTCCTTTTGTCTGCTCTGACCCCCAGGAGGAAGGGGATGATGACCTCATGTTCAAGATGGTGTTCGTGGTGAACATGGACCTTGCTATGGGTGTTGGAAAGGTATGTCCAGCAGCACCAGTGTGGATTGCGTGTGACGCATCCTGCAATTCATCTTAAAGAACGTGTCCGAATGTTTAACAATCGGCCTGTCTCCCCACTAAAAATATCAGCTATTAGTGGTGATTAAATGCATGGCTATCTCTGTTTTTACAGTGATGGAAAGCTGCTATAAATGTTCATAAATTTGCATTAGTCTGCCTTTTTGTACATCCTTCTGATCATTGATACCTGCCAGGTTCTGCGCTGCTTGCTCTGAGTAGGTTATGAAGTAATCCATCCCACAGAAATGCTGATTTCATGCAAATATTGTTTTCAGCTTGGGTCTGCATTTTAATAGAAAAATAATGCTTCTTAAAAAAAATCAACTTTATTGCACATGGTCACAAGAGGCACATAAAAGCCCTTTTCAGTACAGCAGAGGACTACCAGCTTCCTGCTTGTGTGAACTCTGTGCTGTGCGTTTGTGCAGGTTGCCGCCCAGGTGGGTCATGCTGCCGTGGGTTTGTACCAGGCTCTGCAGGAGAAGAACAGCTGGAGGGAGATGGCCTGGAAGTGGGACCACAGCGGGTATGTTGCAAGAGGAGAGATGCACTGACAAGTTGGCCATTTGTTATGTATCGTGTAATTCAAACAAAGACGAGTTGTTTGCACTGTACGGAAACGGTGAATGTCAACCTTTTTTCCAGATTTTTACAAGGAATGGGAAAGTTAACGCGTTAATCTGTAGGCTAAGCTAGCTGCTAGGCTACTTCCATGTCAATATCTACCCTGCAGAGGACCACCACTGTGTCCCTAAAACACAGTGGTTTGGAAAACGTCCTGGCTAAATTTCGGTAGATTGATGCCACTTGTGACCATACGTACATACAGTAAATAATTAATATAAATGAGCACTCGGTCATGGTTTGCGCTGTAGAATTGCAATAACATTATTAATGGATATGTATGTGCGTTGTGTTGATATAGGTCCAAGAAGGTGGTGGTCCAGGGCACCAATGTAGCTCATCTACTGGAGCTGCAGGCCCTGGCCATGAGCCTCAGCCTGCCCACTTACCTGGTCCAGGATGCGGGGATGACCCAGGTGAGAGAAACAGGCCGCTACCAGTTATCTTCTATGTATGTAGATTTCTGACTCATCTGTAGTTATCTCCAATATATTGGTCATTTTATATCTGGTTGGCACATCAGGAATCGGGAACGTTTATTGCCAAAATATGTTAGACATACAAGCAATTTGACATGGTGGTTGTTGCATAACATTGGACAGTAGGACAATGAGACAACAAGACAAAGGACAAGAAAAGTGGCATGAAGACAATCTACACCCCCCCCCCTCCCCCTTTTTATGTTGTCTTCGCAGGTGGAGGCCGGGTCCCGCACTGTGCTGGCCATCATGGGCGAGGAGGAGATGGTGAACAACGTCACTGGGAGTCTGAAGCTGCTCTGAGAGGCTCCGCCCCCCTGTGGGGGAAGCCATTGCTCTGCAGGGCCGCGGGGCCTCCAGCAGAGGGCAGCGTTTCCCAGCCGCAGGGAGGGTCTTGGCATGCAAGCTTGTAACAACCTTTAACAAAAGAAGACCTGAAGAAAAGGGAAAACAAGACATGTCCCAACACCAGAACACACACACAGTCCCTCAGCCATTTGTTTCCCTTTCATTCTTTGTCTTAGCCGCTTCGTCGGCCGTTGAGTGTAGAGTGGGGGGGGTAGGTAGGTAGAGGAGAGAAGTTGTTACCAGGGAACCGGGCCATGGTAGTTCCATTTTTTTCTTTTCTTCTGGTGACCTCATTTTACTTATTGGAAAGTCTTAAGATTAGATTCTTAATTCATCTTCAAACACATTTAGTCTGTTGTCCAGTTTGAGATTTTGCAAAGTAAAATAAGTTCTTGGTGGCTGACTAATATTACTGTCATGCTTATTTAAGGTGTAGTATACTGTAGACTAATGTCATTCTAATTATAGCCATAGCAGATGTAGTAAACACCTGTTTAATTCACTGCTCCTGAGTGAAGAGTAATTTATTAACTCATTATACGTCAACACTCATTTTTGACATTTTAATGATCTTTTGTCTGTATGCAACTACTCTCCCAAAGATCCCTCTCCTATAGAATCAAACACATTACTCATTATTGGTAAATGGCTATATTTTGTATGCATTATGCCTGTTAGGGCCATATCATGTATAATCTGTGGTGTGCCATCCTAAGCAGTTACTGGATTTACTCATTGTTTATCTTTTCTTTGTGTTGATTTATGGTAGAATTTGACATTGGGCGCTAACTTGTGTAGAGCCAAAATGTCATGTAGTAAAGTTGTGTGCGGGGCCCAAGTTTATACACTCAGACTGCCTGTTGAGGATAGTTTACACTTCCAAAGTTGGTCAATTTCCAGCTGGACACACAGCCGTGTATAGCATCCGTTATGGACCTGGTGAGTAGTGGTGAACACTAATAATCTTATCGCACACAGATGGACGTGTGAGCGTCTATGTTCTCACTAACATTTGTGGGCATGAGCTGCCTCTCCCAAAAGTGTTATCTTATTGTCAAAGATTGTATTTGTAACAAATTGTTAAAAGAAAAAGGCAGTGGCATGCACGCAATATGAAATGTATATTTGGACTGACAAGTCGGAATCCCAAAGTTATGTTGATTTTTAGTTACATGTCCACACTTTGATACCTCCTGTGTTATAGTCATCTGTGTGAATGCTTCAGACTATGGAGACCATTAAAACGCCTCCAGATTAAGTCACCCGCCTCTTGAATCGTGTTTTTACATCTCTCTCACACACGCGCGCGCACGATGTGCTGGTGGGGGGGTCGCGCGCAGACCATGTTGCAGCGCGCGCGCTCGTGTGAGCGGCCATGTGACGGCGCGTTTTACCGCAATAACAGCGGCAGCACCGAGCCGCGTAACCGGGTCCCCGCTTCCCCACCGAGCCGCGTAACCGGGCCCCCGCTTCCCCACCGAGCCGCGTAACCGGGCCCCCGCTTCCCCACCGAGCCGCGTAACCGGGTCCCCGCTTCCCCACCGAGCGACGTTCCGTGGGAAGTGGCGATGGTTCTAAAGGCGCACAAGCCGAGAAAGTTGCCACATTTATGGGACGGCGAAGTGGACACTCGGCGCGGCTGGAGAAACCGGAAGTCGTCACTTGTGAAAGAAAAAAAGATTTACAGCGCGATTGTGCTGACACACATTCCGACCCCCTGCAGGTCGGTTGAACTCAAGCGGATTAATTGTAATTGTTACCGTGCCGTTTAGACGGTGTGTCGGCACGTCGGTCTCAGAAGGGACAGAAGCCTAGTCCCCCCCCCCCACACATCCGGCGTCTACCGTCACCGCACCCCGTGTATCCATCCGCCAACGCGCCACCAGCTTCCGTCCTGGTTTCCGACATTTGATTTATGACGCTCGGGGTCTTCACCAATGGTAGTCCGCATGCGGACATCTGCAGCAGTTTTGTTGTCTAATCTCGTCGCTTGTGAGACCTGTGCAGCAAATGACGTTGGCATTTATAATCGCAGCCAATCAGCCTCTCATGGCAGGGCGAGAAACCAATGACGTCACTGCGACCGGCTACATGTTTATTGAACATGGAAAAGATTCATAAACCTGGTGCTTAACCAGTGACACGTTCAACAGGACACGATAGCTGCTTGGAAACTTTATTTAACGTTAACTTCGATCATCTCAGCGAGGACCACCGTGTTTGTAACCGATGGATGGAGCCTCCAGGAATAATTATCGAACAGCTGCTGATTGCGGGTATTGTCGGTGTGTCGCTTGTTCAAAGTCTGCAAAGTGTGGGAACAGAAGTGGGAGGGACCACTGATAAGTAGATGCAACCCAGGAGCGGGGGTCAATTTCCCCGTCTGACCGGGTTCAGCCCCTTACCAGACGCTCCAAGAGCGACACCACCTCCTCCTGCTCCTCCTCCACTCATCTGACAAACCAGTAGGTGGGGCTGACCCAGTGGGCTAACCCTGCCTCTTGTGTCCCTGGAACTGGGCCCCGGAGACCCCGTGTAGCTAATGCTAGCTCCCGTGTAGGAAAGCTCCTTCGACGTTAAATAGATTAATTTAAACCTCGAATAAAAAAAATCATAAATCCCACTAACGAATCAAATGAATTCCATGGCATTTGAATGTAACAACGAGCATTTCCCGGAACCTTTAAAGGTACAGATCCTTTGATACGGTGTCAAGTCGTCCCCGAATCGCGCTGCTCCTCCTGCGCCAACAGCACGCACTTATAATGGAACAGAAAATTCGCACCCCTCCTTTAAGTAGTGCCCGCCCCGTTTGACGTAGCTGGTGGAGTGAGGGGGAAAAAAAGGCAATGCTGTAATTTACCTACGACTTGCATGCGTCGCTCGATGGTAGTGTGACTGACACATTTGCCGACGAATCAGTGGTGAGAGGAGGGACATCGCAGCAAGGGCCGCCCAGGGAGAGAGCCCCTGCACTGTCGCCAGGGAAACCCCGTGGCGTGGTTGTGTGTCAGTTTCGCTGGGACCCGCGGTCGATGCCGGTGAGGAGGGGGATGGGCGCCTCGGCGAATGCAAGGACCCGAGACAGAATCAGAGCCCTGTATCACATACAGCAGCATATACCCCATTATAAATAGCGATAGTATATACAATACACAAAAATACATGGATCTATCCACCGGGGATCTATAAAAGACAGTCAATGGATGCAGTGCACCTGAACAGGACATGGAATTTAACTTTTCCTCTACGTTTGGGAGACACTGAGAAGTTGGTTTCCTACCCCTGGAGAGGGAGCTACTTTTGAGGGCAAAGGATACAGGAAACTCCGAGGCCGACCTACGGGCCTACTGGTCTGTTTGGATCTGATGTTGGGATACTCTAAGGACCCACTGTACATGCGTTTGCCTTGCTTGTTCAAATTTGGAATGCCTCTTTAGGTGAGTAATTTAAATATAAATGAGTTGTTTATCACCCTCCTTTTTAGATTGAGTTAGTAACTCAACTGTTAACATAAGTAATGTTTTGACAGACACGTAACGTTACTGATGCATATTTTCAGTGAACCAAACACCGCTATGAAGCTAACGTTAACCAACTTGGCTAAACTACTTGGCGTCCACTTAACGTTAAGTTTATTTGAACAAGTTTCCCACACGATGGTTCCTGTTTGAAGCGACTTGCTCGGCAGGCTAAATGCTCCCCTTGTCGGCGGTCTGCCTCCGAGCTCCGTCCGGACTGGTCTTCCATCACTTTTTGATCAGCTCCTCGTGTTTTCTTTTTGTGTGTCTGTGTAGCTAGCTTTTAGCTTGTTTGGGGTTCACCGCGGTCACCAACGTTAACGCTAGTTGTATTAAAAACGAACGTTATAACGCCGATTTACAGCAACCGTGTCCCAAAGGCTCTCCACGCCACAATGCAAGTTTCCCATAGTTTGACTCGTAGCGTTTAGTCCATGAAGGTTCGCTCTGAGTTCAGTTTTCCTACCAGGAATTATCCGCTGATGCACAGTTATGGCTTTTAAGTGAACTGAGACAACCAAGTTAGATATGTTATGTTTGTCCCTATAAGCTACACAGTAGTTCACATTTAATAAATGTCCCCTGGGTATGTTGAGCAAGTTTCTATAATGTGCTCCCACTGAGGCTCAATATTCCCTAATGTTTCCAAGTAAAAAATAAAAACAGCGGCACATCGAAAACTGGTAATTATTAGGCTGAATTGAGAGAATAACGTTGGACCTTCATATCAGCTCTACCGGGCAAGGAAGTTCAGAACCAGACCGCGTAAGGTAATATGTAAACTTGTTTTGTTAGAACCAAAACATGTATCTGGCAGTGCTCTTTTGACCGCAACGTACTAAATGTTGCTCCTGGACCACAAAACTGTCGAGTTTTGTAAAAGCCGCCCATGACACGACTTGCAATCTGATCATTATTTGCTACTCTTGTTAGCCGAGCAACCAGCTGCCGTGTTGGTTAACGTTAGCTCCCGAGCTACAGGCAACAAATGCTACACTAGCCGTTAAGCTAACTTCTTGGACGTGTTCTGGTTGATTGTGTCCTTGGTCTGCGAACGGGGCTTGAGCGCACACCCGATTAGTTATGCGTGTGGTGAAGTATTCGTAAGCCATCGTAGTGGATTTCTTTGACGAATACGTGTAGTTTAACGGAGAATGAGGCGTCTGCATCGTGGTGGTGCTTGGCTACATAACGTTAATGCATTTGTCTCTGGCAACATTCCTCACTTCGCCCCGGCGTGTGAATCAAGCTGAAAGCGCGGTTATGCTTGTTGTTTTTTCCCCGTTTCCCTTTCTGTGTGTGTGACGTGCACGCGCACAGCAGTAGGAAAAGCAGATCTGTTGGGTAGTGACTTGCTCTTCTTCACCTCCCCCACCTACCAACCCCCAGCCTCGGTGGCGGTTAAGAGAAATGAGAGGTATTTTAGAGGCCTCCTGTTTCCTTGTTTAGCCTCCATTTTTTTCTAAATGGAGCAGTCGCACGTCTCCAGCAAGCTAGAGACGTCGCAGCTGTTATGTTCATTAAGGTCTTTTCTTCGTAGGGAGAGAAGGTTTCCAACTTCCGCTCTACGCGGCTGATTTCAGGAATCAAGACCCGGTTATTTACACAGTCATTTCCTGGTCCGAGGGAACGCACACCGCGAGCTAGCGACAAACGACACGGGGAGATTGCGTTTGAAAAGAGCCGTGTCTCGCATGTGGCGGTGTTGCCAGTGCGCTTCTTTTCCACGTAGCCCCGCGTTGCCTCGCACTAATGGCGGCCCTGCCCGTCGCCCGAGGAGCCGCGCTGCCGCACCGCGCTGCGGCCCCGCAGTCCGCGGCAGGGGACACGCAGCACGGAGAGAAGAGACTGGATTCTGCTCTATCCGACTCGGTTATGTCAAAACACGTTTCACCGGATGTGTGACGACCTCCCCGCAAGGATATTTGTGTCGTAACTTAGGCGGATCGTTCTCAGACACTTTATCTACTCGGCAAAACGCTTTGTTTTGATATTACACAATCTGGTAGCAGTCCTATTTATCAGGCTGGGTTCTCTCTAAAAGCACCGCACTCACTCATCCGGTACATTCCAAGCAAATGTGGTTTAAGGAAGATCCACTTGAGTTGATGTGAGATATTGAAAATAATATAACGTATGTGTGGCGTCGAGTAGCTGTTTCTCGAGCCGGAGTTGACCTTTCCCCAAGAGTACAGAGATTCTACCTGTGCCCTACTGAGGCCGTGCAGGCAGCACCAAGTATTTGGATGGATCCTCTCGATGCCTGTTGGAAGCCAGATCCCAGCTCGCGCAGCCTTCTTTCGATTGGTTGCGACTGACATTCTCTGAATATGTTTCACATCTTTTAATAGAATGTGTGGGCTGCAGCTAGCAAACCTGGCCTTTCGGAACCCGTCAGAAACACGAGCCCCTCCAGCATTTCCCCTGACCCTGGTGGGCCTTCTTAAGCCCCCCTGCCACCCTGGGAAAGCTAAGAATGAATTGCTCGGCTGAATGTTTCTGCTCTGCCTCGCCATGTTGTTTTTTTTCCAGGCCTCTAAAGCGGCTTCCTATTATGAGATGCATGTGTTAGAGGTGTTGAATTACACCAATTGGTGAGCGAGCCTTGAGTGTGGATCAGTTTGCGGGATGGACCCTTAATCTCTCCCATTATTGGCCTCTGAAATGTTGGGCATCTGAACATGAACATGCAAGGTTAGACTGGGTGTTTTTTCACCTTGTGTACTGTGGAAATAAAAGTCTAATTTGTGTTCCCACAGTTGTTATAATACCAGAACTGTAATTGTTGTGCCCTTGAAAACACATTTAGACTGAGTGCTGCGTTCGGATGTGTGGATCTTGTGTGAGTGACTGAGTGAATCCGGATATTGGCCCATTCCCAAAAGAAGACGACAGAATTGTGTCTCGATGCCGACGGTTGGTGAAGAGGGAAACGGGGTGTTGCTGTCGGGAATAGGAATGTGGGGGGGCTGTCCTTTTAGCTCCCATTTGCATGCTGATGCCACTCTATCATAACATGGAGGGCAGGTGTAGCTGTTGATATGTTAATACGGTTTGCGTGTGTTGTGCCTGTGTGACCAAGCCAGTTCTGTGAATCTTCACCTCCTGTGAAAGCAGAAATATCCAATTCTCATCAGGGAGAATCACTTCTGTTGTCTCCAGAACGTAGTTGAGCCACACAACATTTTATTAGCATAAAACAACTAAATCCCAAAATATAAAGACGTTCAATCACACATTTTTGTAATTTTCATAGCGTATGAAAAGTAATGCCGTTTTAGATTATGTCATTTTTATTTTATCCTCCGATTGTGTCTGTTATGAGATACTTCCTGCCCTTTTTCGCCTTTCATTTTGGGGACAGAGCCCCGGTCTATCCACCTTCCCCTCTCTGCGACTCCCCCCTCTGCAGCTGCCCGTGTGATGTGTGTGTGTTGTGTTGTGTGCGTTGTGTGGCTCGCTGTCTTGCACAACGGGGTTAAAAACAAGTCTCTCCGACGCCTGCCTCACTGCCGCATTCCTATTGGTGCAGGAGCTCTGGAGCTGCTCCAATGGGGCACAACATTTCCTTCTGCGTTGGGGGAGCGGTGTTGCAGAGGGCTATGCTGGTTAATTCTGTTTTGTGCCGAGAAGAAATGCTTCTTGGGAGAATAATGGAGGAGGAGGAGGCTCGTGTAGAAAAGGGGGGGGGGATGAGGCAGGCAGGCAATCTACGTAATCATCTCTTCTCTCGCTCTTGTTTTATTGCACCCGTAGGTTTTGTCCTTCATTTCCTTTTCTTTCTCTCACTGTCACACTGCCTCACTTGTCATACTTGGCCGATTATGCAGCGGGAGAAAAAGCTCACCAATATTGCGAGTTGTCCGTCCACCGTCTGCTGGCAGACATTTTGGGCTTCTCCTCATTAACCCTCCGCTGTTTTCATTCTTTCTTTTCTCGGCCCGCCGTGCCGCCTTTCTCATTCTTTCATGCAGCCTTACCAAGAAGGCCAAATAGTGATTAAATTATTCAAATACTTTGTTTAAGGTGAAACCCAGGCTGTAAAACGCGAGTGTGTTTGCTCAAAGGGTGTTGGCAGGCAGAGAGAGAGGGAGCAAATAAGGATCCAGGCAGGAGAAAAACAACCGCGAGAGCGTTTGCACCAAAGTCCAGCCACGCTGCACCAACCAGCTGCCCTGTTTTGTAATGCACAGCAGCAGCGCCCGGTTGTATCCAGTTCACAGGGGCCCTGTTCTATCACCTCGAGCCAGTGGTTCCTGTAGGGCACTTTCCCTCAAGAAGGTGGGGACTCATGTGGAACAGTGAGTGGGGCATTAAAGTCCTCCAGCATTTCAAAATGGCTGCAGTGACTTGACTCTGTGTGACACCTCACAATCATGTGTCGCGCTCCAAATGCTTTTTTTTTTTTCTTTCTTCTGACGGCAAGCCCCCGTGTGGCTCTGGATAAGACTGTCGGCCAGAAAGGAAATGGAAATGTCATGTAAATGTGTTTGTCATGCAGTGAGATCACGTGACGCAGAGGCTGTCTGGTTAATGTTATGCCAGAGGGTGACCTCATCTAACATCAAGATGGCTGTTTTGGCCTTTGTGCCCCGTGTGAGAACACTACTTGAAAAACATCCCATCCCACATGTGGGAGTGGACGTGGCTCACTCTCAAGTTCTAAAACGAGATCTTCCGACACATTTTTTTTCTTCCATCCCAGCCGATACCGAGAAGCAATCCGAGACCAGTGCGTAACGTACAAAACAAGTAAAAATGGGTCAACCGTCGTCTCTATCTTTTTATATTGTTACGAAAATCTTCCATATCATATTTTCATTCTTGAACGCATCATTTTCCTTTGTTTAAACCTACATAATATAGTTTCATGGCCCTGCTGCTGCCCATCCTCCTAACAGCGTAACGTTAACTAGCTG